AAGCTTATTGTTTCACCGAAGTTAATTTCTTGCATATATAGTATATGCGTATATACTCTATTGTAGTATTGTGTATGTAAATATAACAGTACCTTTGTGTTTCACTCGCAACATTACGATGACAAACTATAATATACGTATATGCATAAATCCTTAATTTATGCTATTCAGCAAATCTTTCGACTTGCAATAACATAATATATTTACTAATAAGTAATAACGAATCCTTAAACATTATAAATATATATTATGCACATTCTTATTTCATATTGCAGATACATATATACTAATTACGCATATATATTATATACGAAATATTGTTTCTGWATCGGTACATAATATAGGTACTATTATTATTGTTACAACTTTACAAGTATATCGTTTTATATATAATATGCAATATAATGGCTATAAATACATGCGTTATATACCTTCCTAAARCGACTAGCAAGTTTGTAAGTATATAATACGTAAATGAGTAAGACAATTTTATTGTAATAATTGAGTAAAGTATGTTCTTATAATAATCATTGTACTGCAGTACGCACAAATGTCATATATATATGTATATGCTATGTACAATAAATTACATAGGCACTTACATTGCTACATAGTATAGGTATACATATATACATATACGGCATATACCTATATACTATATGTGTTACTACTTAACGATGAATAAAATATATTTAATCATAAGTACATAATAATAATAATACAAATTTTACATTTATACTACCTATATATGTATATTGTATATACATACATACATACATACATACATATATACATACATACATACATACATACATACATACACATACATATCAATTAAAAATAAACGTATGATTAAACAATTATGTCATTATTGATAGAGTATATATATACAATATATACACATGTAAAATATATTTATTGCAAAGTCGTATAATATCATTTACCTATATCTGGAAATAATAATTTTATAACATAGTATATAATGTTATAAATGTATAATGAAAGTTGTAACGCCATGTAGGTTTCTTGTGAATARTYTGTGTACATATTATTATTTATTATATACTTTACAAACGCACTTTTTATACAAATTATTCTGTAGGTTTTCTCATGAAGAAAATTGAACATAACATTGCATTTGTAAAATTTATAATTATAATTAATTATAAATATTATTGTTATGTTAAAGTGTAATGATATTGAAGAAGCGTGTTATATTAATTTTAGTTCTAGTGGTAATATATTATGTTAAATTTGAGAACATTGCCTTTATTATTATTTATAGGTTCAAAAAAATAAAATATATATACATATATTTAGAAAATGAAGAACGTAAATTATTTTCCTAAGTTTTTAACAAAATTGTATATTTTTGTTAAAAATTAATTTGGAATATACATTAATTATTATAAGGAAATAACCTACTACCTATACCTGCACTTTATTTGTAGTTTCAACTTAATTTTTTTGAATTAGATTCAAATATTTAAGATTCTGAGCAGAACAAGGAATGTATTGATTTTACCATGATGTGTATTTTTTTATTTATTTTTTTTTTGTGTCTGTCATCACGTTTTGGGGTAGTAAAAATGCTTTGATTTTCGACTTCAGTTCCTTGTTAGATCAGAAAGTGAATCTAGTTGGTACTTTGGAGTGGGTTAAAAGTCAAAATTCTCAATATTTTTCTAAATAATCGGGATAAGCAAACTAAAAATTAATGAAAAACGGAATTCTTACGCACAATCAGTTATCGACAAAGTCAATTTTGGTTTTTGATGTAACTAAACGCATATTTCTAATCATTTATTCTCAATTTTGTAATACTAAACTTAAAAATATATCATGTTTATTGTAAATATCAGTTTTTAAATCTATATTTTATTGACTAACCGTGCAAAAACAAATTTACTCATTATTAAGCGATATATATATATATATATTGTTGTTATCCATGGCTAACTCACGCATTTCGTAATTTTTTCAATTAGTTAAAGTTAAGATACTTTAGTACAGAAACTAAATAAATTAGAATATAAGTTAGTTTTTGAAATTTTCCAAATTTCTAACTTAGAAGTTATTTTTATGAAAATATAGTAACTTAAATTAGAGTAGAAGTTAAAAGGTTAGTTTTTTTTATAGTTTAAAATACAAATTTAAAAACCATTTGTTCAAAATATGTTAAGTGTTACATAAATTAACACTACTACAATTACTTTGTGTCTCGGTAAATAACTTAAATTATTGGTGACAATATAGTAAAATTTAAAGGAAGAATTATTAATAATTTGATCAAATGTTTTGACATTCAAGTAGGTAGGTTATTATAGGTGTTTAATCTTATATATATATATATATATATATATATATAATATGATTTTATATTGTATATTTGTATTATATACACTATAGATTGCATATTATTCTATAAAGGTGGTATACCTACCTATATATTTACAAAAAAACTATACCTACCTAATAGTTCTATATGAAGTATACTTAATATGATAATGCTATATAGTTATAAGTATACTCTTTACTCATCTACATACCTATAGCGGCTATAGCCATACGTCTTGGAAAGAATCAAGAAATCGCAAAACTATATAGGTATTCGATAACATTACGAAACGTGTTTAAACATATTATGTGCTTTTAAACAACGATGTTACTTTTGATGAGCTAGGTATATGTTTATGCGTCTGTGTGTAGGTATATTGTATATACAAAGAGTTACGGGAGCGGATCGTAGGCGATGATGAATAGACCATCACCCTTGTCATCGACGCTTGTAGGTTCGAACTCGAGCTTAATATTTTTGACGGGGAAAAAATAACTACCTACGAGATTTATTCTTCATCATCTATCAATCAAATAATAATTTCGATTATGTAAAACACCCAATCCCCGATAAATTACAGCTACCAATCACCGTATTACATTAGGAGTAGAAGATATATTCAATACACATTAGATCGTGTTCATATTATTCAATACTTATAGATAAATATATGAACGCGTGTGTGTATCTATATATTATATTAGATATCTAAATATTAAGGTATATATCCAAAAACTGTGTCATTGAACGAGCGCGTATTACATGAAGCGCGCGCACAAATACAATCGAACCGCATATTTACATAATATGAGCAAACAATATATATTATATATATATGATGCACATATAATATATTATTACATACGCAAACAATAACTCAACAGGCTGTTAACTTATAATACTAATAAAACGTTTACAATGTCGTCCACGCTAATGGATAGGTGACGAAATGTAAGTAGATTCGTCGTGTACATCTATATATATTATTGTCACGGTGTGAAGTGAAAAAATTAACAGAATTTATCGTATAACACTTTAACACGTATTATTATACATGCACAGTTAAACAACCGTTTATTTTACTACATATTCAAGTTCTAKATTTATAAAAAATAAACGACATAATACGTTGATATAAATTATAAAAAAAATCTTTAAATAGGTTCATATAGTTAAAAATTGACTATACATATAGTCGAAAACTAAAATCGTATATTTTTTTATTCTTCAATATACGTTTTATTTTTATATTCTTTCTTTGTAATTTATTTTAATATTCGTCTTTCCATACTAKATTTTTATAGAACATTTTTAAAATAACATAAATGAATCACATTTCAATATTCATATAATTATAATTTAAACAACACCATATATTATTAATAGGTATTACGTATACTATATTATATACTAATTATTTTATATAAACATATTTTTTTTTTAATAAATGTTTTTGAACGTCAATAAATTAATTAGAATTAACKTATTTTTAAATTATATATTGTATCTAATAAACGCGTATTGCAACTATTGTCATCTGCATGTCATAAAGGTTTTTTTTTTTATTGAACTTAAAACCATCAATAGCAAAGGTGATTAGATTTTTATTTAATACATAATGAGTGATTTCTAAAACTAAAATTATTCATACAGGTTTATGTGAGCGGTTGCTAACAGTTTGAATACATATGGGTATACCTCTATTATAGGTACATAATATATTTTTTAACCCCAAAATTCTTCATGTAGAATCACTACATAAAAAACAGTGTAATTTTAATAAGATTTATGTAGTCATAGATAGTTATTAATCTACACCTATACATAATTTATGAATGAAGTCAATAATCTTTTTATATGATTAACATATTATCTAATATTACATACCCGGTCACGTGCTACACTACAAATCGTAGACATGAATATTAAATATAAAAACAAAAATCATAATTTATAAGTACCTATAGCCACCTAGGTACCTACATGTTATAGGAGTTAATGAGCATCACAAATATTATGCCATTTTTTTAATAGGTTTATACATTATAAAACAACTTATTTTTGTGGAAATAAGAAAACAAAARTTCGGAATTAAAGTTTACGCAGAATAAGCAAATATCAAATATTACCTACACCTATATATGTCATATTAATATGTATCTAAGTGACCAAGTACCTTTCTATATTTGAAAAATCGACAAAACGTATTCATGTGAATATCCATGTATCGAAATCACCTATTAATAACAGTAATTATAATACTTATTAAATATACGACAACAGTGCGAAAAAACGTGTAAGCACAATTAACTATGTGTTTATCATTTAAGTTCATTATATTAGTATATTTATGTGTTATTAAAGTTATTTATTGTGAACGGAAACATTATAATAAATAACATATCAAATAACGTGGATTAATATAATATATTTCACAATTAAATTTTTCCGAATTATATAAGATCCTTAATAAAAATCAAGTACCTACCTAATTATTGTATTGGGGATTTAGGAATCATATTGGTTATATCCATCGTAAAAACCTAACGCGAATTATTAACATCATATTATAGTATCAATACATGAACAATAACAATAAAATAAATGACTATAGAAGATATGTCGATATGGATGCGACACATATATAACTTGTGCAACTTACCGGTTTGGCGTTGTCCGCGGAGAACGACCCAGCCCGGAGCACTGCTATTTGCATGGTCGCGGCGCCGAAAACAGTATAGCTTTCCGATGTTAAAATGAATTTGTTCACAGTCTGTAATGTGTGGGTACTGTGTGATTACAGCAATAATTGCAATTGTAGCAATAAATTCAGCAGAAWTAATAATGAATACGACGTCGAGACCGCTGTACAGGTGGACTCGCGGTACTATGAATCAAACACGGCGATGGCCTMTGAATGTTGGCGACGGTCGWTGGATAATAGTCGTCGGCGTTGCAGACGTTTCGCGAACATGTTGCCCGCGCGGCTGCCGGTCAGCGTTTGACGAGCGCGACTCGCGCGGATTGCACTYGACTGCACGCGTAGTACAGCGGCGGCGGCCGGCGTATATCTACCCATTTTCAGAGCAAATTAGCTCATGCCGYCGACCCTCCTYAGCCCTGCGTCCTGCAAAATTAGAGGTATATATWCAACAACAAAAACCGCTCATTCAGAGAAACAAAATATTGTTCTAGGTATATATTTAAATAATGTTATTTTTAAATGTATACAATTCTCACCAGAAAACATTCTGCTGAATTTTAGAAACTATGTGTGGATGTTTAATATTATATATAGACCTTCTCATTTCAAATACTTATAATAAGAAAATCAATTTTCAAAGGTGCATTACATTTTTACACATAATTAATTAATTATCTAATTAAGTCGTACACCTATTACCTATGTCCATGTATAAATTATAATTTATCAATTTTATTTTATTGTACCTACATATTATGTTATTCATTATTAAATTATTATTAGGAAATRCATTTCATTATTTACTATGTATGTATCTAATTAGGATAATATTATATAAATTCTTAAAACAATAAAATAAAGAAACTTTTATTTCGAACGATTGTTATTAATATTTGATTACACTAGGTATACAGTTTTAAAATGATTATGATTTCTAGCACTTCCTTAACACTTTCAAATTGTTAATGAATACACTCAGACCTGTACAGTGTTTTGCATATAATATAATAATTGTAGAGTTAAATTTATT